ACATACGCCAGGATTTATCCCTCAATAGTCGAAAAATAGTTTCATTAAATTTAAAACTAGACATTCCAAACTAAAGTTCAACATTTTGATTCCGTTATCAGTCAAAAACAGTATTTCCTGTCTTTATATGCAAACCGTGCTCTCAATTAATTTAACACTCGACCTATTTATTCATTATTTAATAATAGGTGATTTTGTTTTGCATTAGATTTAAATAATACTAAAATTATGAACTAATCATTCGAATAAAAAGATACATAAAAAATATAGATTAAATGGATTAAAGAAATTAATCTGCTGATCAAAGAAGAATCAGATATTATTGAAATTAATATAAAGTAAGAAAAAAGCAATAAGGAGATAAGATCTGGTCAGTTATTATTTTTTATATAATCTATACTTTTGTCTTTTTTTTTTTTTAATAGATACATGAAAACCCTGTTAATATCTTACTCGCTATATCTGTAATTAAATTTTACGACTTCGTACAAAATTCCCTGATAAATATAGATAAAGGAAATCTCTAAAATAACAGAATGCGATAGATCTCATATAATCCAGTGAAAATGGCATTATTATTCTCAATACTTTTGATATACAATAATAATCATCATTAATTAATTAGGTACAGGAACACTTTATCATTCGTAGTATTAATTAAAGATAATCAATTACATACAATAAATTGTTATCAGCCACGGTGCATCGCCTCCAGTCTCGGCATTACCAATTTTTTTCCTTTTTATTTTCAATGTAGATACTATATCTTGTTTCTTTTTCCGTTTTTGTTTCGTCAAAAGTTTAAAAATCAGTTGTTTTAGGAAGCGAGCGCCTACGACCATTAAGAAATCGAACCAGTATGCGAAGGCCATTCGAGAAGATTCAATCACACGTTCGATTTTTTCGATTTTTTTCTCTCTGGTTTTTCTTCTTTCTTTTCATTTCTCTTCTTAATTTGTTCTAATTTATCTTCTAACAGAATCGTCAAAGACAGATAGAGAGAAACAAAAAATGAAAAAAGTAAAAGTGGTCGTAAATATTCATCGATGAAAACTCGATGTTGAAAACGTAAACGTTCAGAAAATAACGATGCTGATAATATTTTTTAGCGTTGTAACGCTTACTAATGATTAAACTTGCAAAGACTACGATGAAGTTTGGAAAAAAATATATACAAAACGCTCGATGTATCAAATTTATCCTCTCGATATTAGACCCGCTGGTCTCCTCTTAAGTATCTCTTAACCTTTTTTTTTCCTTAGGCTTATTTCGACCTTACTGCACTAAAAAGGCACAATTTTTCGCACCTGATAAAACATCGTTACGGTCTAAATACTAATTAATCATTTCCCACCAAAGTATTTTGTTTCCCCGTTGCCAATTGCATGTTGCACGTCTATTTCTCAGTATGTGTGTTACGTTTATGCAGGAGCTTATTTTACAATGTCAAATGGGTGATAATGGTGGTACGACAAAACATGATCTGTATTTTTAATATTTTTTTTTTTTCGCGGTATCTTCGAATGCACGATATATTACGTATATTAAACAGAGCACGTGTATTTATAATGCACGTAATATATCTTCTTATAAACTAATTTGTAATAATGTTCTTTCCTATATAAATCTACGGCCTATACAGACCTTTACTAAGGCGAAACTACGCGGGCTTTTGTACAGTCGTTTGGAAAACTATGGGAAGTCTTTAAGAGGAAGAAATTATTCAATCAATATACAGCGTTTTTCTGGTGTTATTGCAGCTTATGCAAAACGATTGGAGATAACCAAATTGCAATTACAATAGAGTATTCCGTTTCTGTGAAATCTCTGTTATTTAAAATGAGAATGTTGCCTTTCGGAAAATTTCATGTGGTCGTATTTTTTTTATTGCAATTCGTCCAATTTCATTGGAAGTGGTCAAACTGTAATCCTTTCTTTTTTTTTTTCTTTCTTTAATTCAGTTCTTTTTGTTTTTAGCAAAACCTTTCTAAAAGGAAACGCCTTTTTATCAAAATTTTATACCGGATAAACCAAAATTATATACAATCAAATGACATTGTATATATAATTTTTGTTGTCAAAATACGAAAAAGAAAAAGAAATAAATACATAAAACATTGCTAAATGCGAGAAAAATGATTTTTGTTAAAATTAAAAGTAAAATACCGAAATACAAATGCAAACCCTGTAAAAAGTATAATTAAAGATAAATGTTTAGTAAAATCTATATTTATCTAAACACGATTTTCTTTTTCTTTTTTTTTCTTCTTTTACTTAATAAACATATAACGGTTTTGCTCATTTAACAGATTTTTTTTTGTTTTATCGATTAAAAGCACTTGCTCGGTTAACTTAAGCGGAAGAAACCGCTTTAGCAACTCCAATAAACTAACACCGAATATCGCCTTCTTATTGTGGTTTTCTTCTTATAGAATGCTGGTCCTCTTAAATAAAATTAGTTGCGGCACTTGTTCGAAGTTAGCACGTTCTTTTATTCAGAATAATCCTTGTATCAGTCTATCATTCGAGCGCCTTGACTTGCGCCATAACTTTACCCTCCCATAATGGTAGGACTTCAGAATCATCGGTTATTTCTTCTTGAATAACCTTTGTATCCAAGTCCTCACACTCGGTTTTAAAGAAATATCTAAAAAAATATGATGTACAAATATATATATATAATTTACTGGAATTTCATATTTTATATTTTATAAACAGCGTTAGTTTCCTTACCGATAGCTGCCTTTCTTAGGAAGATATTCTTTAAATTGTTTTAAAGTGACATTATGACCAGGAATTTTAGTCCTATAAGGAAACTGCTCGTCACAGAAACTGAACACAACGGTGGTAAAATCTCCAATATCTTGCTTCGTTTTCTTTAACGTTGATTGATTTGATTGAACATAAGATTGACTTTGCATTGTAGGCTCGTATGATTGTTTAGAAATATTAGAATGACGTTGTTTACAACTTGAACGTGCCCTATCTTCCTCTATTAATCTTCTTCTTGCTTCTTCTAACTGAGTTGCCTGTAAAAAACAGAATATAGATCTAGACTTTTGATAATTATTAAAAGTAAATAGCGAGATAAAATAAAAATATTTACTGTATGAGGCTGTGGTAAAAGTGGCA